AACGGCCGCAACACCTGGTATTCCCAGCCGGTCAACCATACAACGTCACTTAGCTTCGTTGACCAGACGGGAAGCGGGTAACCTTTCGACTAATCCAGTGAAGGTCTATACTGTTGCTGTTGTATCGGATTCCACGCACCATACGCTTGACATTGGGGAACAAATTGCTGCTGCTGAGTTCCATCACTGAAGTTCGAGTATAGAGACCCTCTTATGGCTGGCGAGCTGTGCTTGGCTGTTTCGATTCGGCTTCCTAAAGAGACGAGAAAGTCATTCTGACTCCACGTTTGATGTTTTAATATTCTAAAGGGACTGTTGTTAGGAGGAAGATCATTGCTATTCGTCCCAAAATAAACCTGTCTGCAGATGTACTAATTTTATGAAAAAAATCGAACAGATTTACAACACATTTGACCCTAATTAGCGTCACTTCAGCTCAATACTGATCTCGCGGCGATTATTCAATCATATTGCGGCGTAAGGCAATATTCACTCTGTCCGTCCGTCTAATCGGTGGCCCATGACCGGTTGAGCTTTGCTCACTGTGTATTTGATTGGTACATTCATTTTCTTGCATTGGTCGGTTATTTCGAGTCACATATAAGGAACACAGTGAAACTTGTAAATTGACTTGTGACTTGTGTTGAACGCCATTAAAAAACCGTGCTGCTGAAGCCGTGTCTTCTCTCTCGTGTTTTGGGAGGCCTGAGAGATCGAAAACTGACCGTGTGTCCAGTGTTTCGTCTAGGTAGCTTCCGCTCCTAGAACTATCATTCGTTTACTGACTTATTGCTAGTCCACTGATCTCGTGTTCCCGTGTGCTACTAGTGTTACTATGCTTCATCTTGTGTTCTTTGCAATTGTACTGTTCAGATGTGATGAAGTGCAGTGCGAAATAATAGTAGGCAACGGATATAAGCGACATAAAAAGAAACAAAAACTCTAATCTAAAAATAGATGTGGTCTCAGTTTATTATTCATTGTTCTCTTGAATGTGTATGCCAAAAAGGTTGAACTGCCCATTTCCGAGCATTTCAGTTTATGTTGTCAGTCAATTTTTTACCAATATCCTCGGCCGCTTACCTCATCAGACCTATCGCCCCCCTCCCCAACAGAAATGCTGTAGCACACATTGTGCACCAGGTTTCACCCATCCTTGTAACAACTCCGCTCATAAAACGAGAATTCCTTAAAACACGTCAGATTTACTTTGTTACACAAGCCTTTATTTTCCACTGAAGTTTAAAACCTATGTGACTTCTTGACTGAATGTCAACGTTTTCACAGTCAAAAAGTTCACCATTTTCCTAAGTGTCAAGCTTCACATTTTTTGACAAATTACTCTCTTTAAGATCGATTACTTCATTCACTGTAACATTCCATTTCCCGGTCACCCGTCCGACTCGATTTGAATGAGAAGATCTGTGCTCTCATTTTTCAGATCCACTGAACATTTTCACCGTCTCACTGGTATCCTCAAGAATGGGTCTTAGATTCTATGTGTGTGTTTGTTTGACGCAGACCACTGTCCGTGTGTCTATCCTGAAAAATATATGTCCCACCCTAGTACTCAGTCACGATTCAAGCTTCTCCCTGCACATACTAACACTTATCGAAATAGTATGGTCTCTTATCTTGTCCATATTTCATTAAATCCAATAGTTACCACCATGACTGTTAGCAAGCACCGTGTGTGCCCAAAGTCGTTTGTTATTGTCCACCACGATCCTCGTTGACTGTACACACATCTCTCTCAGACTGAACTTCGTTGAAAAGGCTTAAAATGTACCTTTTGGTGTTAGGCAGCTCTGCTATCGTCCGGTTCAATACCACGCCTAACCTATCAGGGACTTATGTGGTTCGCCACTCCAAGTACCGGGGTTAAGGTTGTCGATTGCCATCACTGAACAGCAGGTCCTCGTGACTATGGAGTACACCCCGTTTGCTGTTTATCACACCTAGGTGTGTAATAAAACAAACCGTTTTCTGATCGAGGGGCCGATTCTCGTTGGAAAATATTTGTTTTTATGGATCTTATATTGGATAATTTTGAATTCGCGACTCACAGTTCGGTTGCTTTTTTTGCGAAGAGGGTGGAGACACAACGGGATAAATTTTATCGGTTCACATTCGGTTGGTAACTGATGTCATACAGTTGAAACACTAATGCAATCATACGC